CAGGGATCGAATGGTGTTTTATATCGGAGGGAATGGCGTTTTATATCGTAGGGAATGGCGTTTTATGTTGTAGGGAATGGCGTTTTATATTGTAGGGAATGACGATTTATATTGTAGGGAATGGCGTTTTATATTGTAGGGATCGAATGGTGTTTTATATCGTAGGGAATGGCGTTTTATATCGTAGGGAATGACGTTTTATGTTGTAGGGAATGGCGATTTATATTGTAGGGAATGACGTTTTATAGTGTAGGGAATGGCGTTTAATATTGTAGGGAATGGCGTTTTATATTGTAAGGAATGACGTTTTATATTGTAGGGAATGGCGTTTAATATTGTAGGGAATGGCGTTTTATATTGTAAGGAATGACGTTTTATATTGTAGGGAATGGCGTTATATATTGTAGGGAATGGCGTTTTATATTGTAAGGAATGACGTTTTATATTGTAGGGAATGGCGTTTTATATTGTAGGGAATGGCGTTTTTGATAGTTTGACGTGATGTTTTTGTATTTTGACAGGACGTTTTAGACATCAGGACGCGACTGTTTTTTTTACATTTACTGACACAGAGATCCATCTCTGATAAATCTTTAAATTAGAAGTGTGTCAAAATCGCCATGCCGCAATACCAAAAACGTCAAGTCCTACTGTCAAAACCGTCACGCCCACTATCAAAAGCGTCCACCTTATATAAAAATATCACGCTCCTATATAATAAAAAAAAATAAAAAAAAAAAAAAGCTACGTCCTAATGTCTAAAACGTCCTGTCAAACTATAAAAACGTCCTGCCCCTATTATCAAAAACCTCACGTCCTACAATCAAACATGCCATTCTGTACAATATAAATAATACGCCATTCCCCATTTTCAAAAGCGTCACGCCAAACTATCAGGAACGTCTCAAATTACTAAACGTTCTCAACTAAAATATTCTTAGATATAAAATTTTCCATTAAATGTTCTATCTAGATGGCATGAAAATCCTTACCTGTGTAAACTGATTTCTTTACATCAATTCGTTTACGTATTATTTGGTTACCTATTCCTTATTTTGTATGGAAATCTAAATATAAAAACATACATGACACTTACACTTTGAGATAATAAAGGTAAATGAACTACATGTACAACTCTGTCACATACAGATATAACAAGGAAAACATACATACCCATTTTGTCGAGTTCTGTTGTTCTGTTTAATCCATTTTCTTATCTGAATAAAGAAATGAATAAAAAAATACAATCATTTTTTAACATTTATAGCGAACAAGGTATCAATAGCATATTGAACATAACACGTACATGTACGTTTGAAACTACAGGTAAGTATGCGATGCCCTCGCTGTTACAGATGTGTAACTACTGAGTCAATTCCCTCGCCTTTACAGTTATGTACATTGTAACTACGTATATGTAGTCAACGCCCCCGCCGTTACAGATATGCAACTTTTTATATGTTTCTTTGTCAATGCTTAAACACTTTATCTATAAACTTAATGCTCATGGTTAGAGGATAGTCGCTATGTAATCAATCCACGTCAATGCCCTCACCATTAACCTTTGTAACAACGTAGTCTATGCCCTCGTGTATGAACTTTGTAACAACGTTGTCAATGCCCTCAACATATAACGTTTCAGCCACGCAGTCAATGCCCTAATCGCTTAACTTTGTAATCGTAGCCATAAAACTGTGTAGCCGCGCCGTCAATGCCCTCACCATAACACTTTGTAAGAACACAGTTTATGTCCTCGCTTTTGAACTTTGTAACAAAAGTCAATGCCCTCCACACTAAACTTTTTAACCACGTAGTCCATGCCCTCGCCATTTAACTTTGCAACTATGTAGGTCAATGATCTCACCAATAACCTTTGTAGCCATATAGTCAATGCCCTCACCATTTAACTATGTAACCACGTAATCAATAGCCTCACCATTTTGCTTTTGAACTACGCAGTCAATAGGTACCATTTAAGTTTGGAACTATATAGTCAATACCCTCACCATTTAACTTTGTAACCATATAGTCAAGGCCCTTACCATTTAACTTTGAGACTTCGTGGTTAATGCCCTCACCGTTTAACTGGGTAACCATATAGTCAATGCCTTCACCATATAACTTTGTAACCATGTAGTCAATTCCCTCACCATTCACCGCTTGAACCGTGTATTTAATGCTCTCGCCATTTAACTTTTGTAACCAGGTGGTCAATGTCCTTACAATTTAACTTTATTACCATGTAGTCAAAGCCCTTACCATTAAACTTTATAACCGTATAGTGAACACCCTCATCATGAACTTTTGTAATCACGAGGTCAATGCCATCACAATTAAATTTTGGAACTTCGTAATCAATGCCTGCACCATTTGACTTTATAACCATGTTGTTTATGCTATCACCATTCAATTTAGCAACAATAAAGTCACTGCCCTCACCATTTACCATTGTAACCAGGAAGTCATTGCCCTCACCATTTAACTTTGTAACCAGGTCAGCAATGCCCTCGACATTTATTTTTGTAACTATGGAGATTATGCTTCCATCATTTAACTTTTGTAACCAGGTTATCAATGCCCTCACTATTCAACTTTGTAACTATTAAGTCAATGCCTTCACAATTTAACTTTGTAACCATTAAGTCAATGTCTTCACCATATAACTTTGTCACCATGTAGTCAATAACCTTACTATTTTAATGTGTAACCATGTTGCCAATGCCCTCACCATTTAACTTCGTAACAATGTAATCAATACCCTCCCATTTAACTTTGTAACCACGTAGTCAATGCCCTCAACATTTAACTTTGTAACCATGTAGTCAATGCCCCCATCATTTAACTTTGTAACCATGTATTTAATGTTCTCTCCATTTAAATTTATAACCAGGTAGCCAATGCCCTCACCATTTAACTTAGGATCTTTGTTGTCAATGCTCTCACCATTAAACTTTGTAACCAAGTAGGCAATGCCCTAACCATTTATTTTTGTAACCATTGAGTATATCCCCTTACAATTTAACATTGTAACCAATGCCCTCACCATTTATCTTAGGATCTTCATAGTCGATGCCCTTACCAGTTAACTTTGTAACCACATAGTCAATGCCCTCACCATTTTTTTCTAACTATGGAGTATATGCTTCCACCATTTAACTTGTGTAAACAGGTTATCAATGCCCTCACTATTTAACTTTGTAACCATTAAGTCAATGCCTTCACCATTAAACTTTGTTACCATGTAGTGAATAACCTCACCATTTAAATGTTTAACCATTTAGCCAATGCCCTAACTATTTAACTTTGTAACCACGTAGTCAATGCCAACACCATTTAACTTTGTAACCATATAGTCAATGCTCTCGACATTTAACTTTGTAACCACGTAATCAATGCCCTCAACTTTTTTTATAACCATGTAGTCAATGCCCCTACAATTTAATTTTTGATCTACGTAGTCATTGCCCTCAGCATTTAACTTTGTAACCATGAAATCAATACCCTCTTCATTAAACTGTGTAACCATGTAGTCAATGCCTTCACCATTTAATTTTGTAACTACATAGTTAATGCCATAACCATTTAACTTTGTAACCATATAGTCATTACCCTCACCATTCAACTTTGTAACCATGTAATCAATGCTCTCACCATTTTACTTCGTAACTATGTAGCCAATGAAATCATCTTAACAGATACACTTCTTTTCCAATGCCTTAACACTTTAATTATGCACTCATAATGCCTCCATGGTTTCAGTAATGCACTCGCCATTACACCCTGTACCAACATAGGAAATGCCCTCGCAATCACACCTTGTAACATCAGAGTTAATGCCCTCACCGTTACACCCTGTAACAACAGAGTCAATGCCCTCGCCATTACACCCTGTAAAAACAGAGTCAATTCCCCCACAATTACACCCTGTAAAACCAGTGTCAATTGCCCTCGCAATTACACCTTGTAACATCAGAGTTAATGCCCTCGCCATTACATCCCTTAACATCAGAGTCAATACCCTCGCAATAACACACTGTAACAACAGAGTGAATGCCCACGACATTACACTCTGTAACAACAGAGTCAATGCCCTCGCAATTACACTCTGTTGTATCAGAAGCAATGCCCTCACCATTACACACTGTAAAAACAGAGACAATTGCCATTGCAATAATTACACCTTGTAACACTAGAGTGAATTAACTCGCCATTACACCTTGTAACAGTATCAATACCATCACAATTACACCTTGTAACACTATAGTCAATGCCCTCGCCATTACTACCTGAACAACAGAGTAAATGCCCTGGCCATTAGCCTTGTAACAACAAAGTCAATGCCCTCACCATTTCACCCTGTAGCAACAGAGTCAATAACCTCACCATTACACCCTCTAACAACAGAGAAAATGACCTCGCCATTATATCTTGTAACAACGGAGTCAATGCCCTCACCCTTATACCTTGTAACAACAGATTCGATGCACTCGCCATTATAATCTGTAACATCAGAGTCAATGCCCTCACCATTACACCATATAACAACAGAGTCTATGCCCTCCCAATCACACACTGTAACAACAGAGTCAATGCCCTCGCAATTACACCTTGTAACAACAGATATAATTGCCCTCGCCATTATACATTGTAACAACAGAGTCAATGCCCTCACCATAACACCTTGTAACAACAGAGTTACTGCCCTCGCCATTATACCTTGTAACAACAGTTACTGCCCTCACCATTATACCTTGTAACAACAGAGTCAATGTCCTCGCAATTACACCCTGTTATATCAGAGGCAATGCCCTCACCATAACACAGTGTAAAAACAGAGTGTAATGCCCTCGCCATTACACTCTGTAACAACAGAGTCAATGCCCTCGACATTACACCCAGTAACAACAGAGTCAATGCCTTTGACATTACACTCTTTAATAACAGAGTCAATGCCCTCGCCATTACACCCTGTAAAATCAGAGGCGTTGTCCTCACCATCACACCCTGTAAAACAGAGTCAATTGCCATTGCAATAATAACACTTTGTAACAACAGTATCAATACCCTCGCCATTACACCTTGTATCACTAGAGTCAATGCCCTCGCAATTACACCTTGTAACGCTTGAGTCAATGCCCTCGCCATATACCCTGTAACAACAGAGTCAATGCTCTCGACATTACACCCAGTAACAACAGAGTCAATGCTCTCGACATTACACTCTTTAACAACAGACTCAATGCCCTCGCCATTACACCCTGTAAAAACAGAGTGTAATGCCCTCGCCATTACACTCTGTAACAACAGAGCCAATGCCCTCGAGATTACACCCAGTAACAACAGAGTCAATGCTCTCGACATTACACCCAGTAACAACAGAGTCAATGCCCTCGCCATTACACCTTGTCAATGCCCTCGTCATTACACCCTGTCAATGCCCTCGCCATTACATCCCTTAACATCAGAGTCAATGCCCTCAGCATAACACAGTGTAAATACAGAGTGTAATGCCCTCGCCATTACACTCTGTAACAACAGAGTCAATGCCCTCGAAATTACACCCTGTAAAAACAGAGTCAATTGCCATTGCAATAATTACACCTTGTAACACTAGAGTCAATTAACTCGCCATTACACTTTGTAAAAACAGTATCAATACCCTCGCCATTACACCTTGTATCACTAGAGTCAATGCCCTCGCAATTACCCCCGGTAACATCAGACTTACTGCCCTCGTAATTACACCCTGTAACAACAGAGTCAATGCCCAAGACCATACACTCTATAACAACAGAGTCAATGCCCTCGCCATTATACATTGTAACATGAGTCAATGACCTCGCCATTACACCCTGTAACAACAGAGTCAAGGCCCTCGCCATTACACCATGTAACAACATAGTCAATGCCGTGGCAATCACACACTGTAACAACAGAGTCAATACCCTCACCATTACACCATGTAGCAACAGAGTTACTGCCTTAGTAATTACACCCTGTAAAACAGATTCAATGACCTCACCATTACACCTTGTAACAACAGAGTCAATGACCTCGCCATTACACACTGCCAATGCCCTAGCAATTGCACCTTGTAACAACGGCGTCAATATCCTGGCCATGACACCCTGTATCAACAGAGTCAATGCCCTCGACATAACACCCTGTAACAACAGAGTCAATGCCCTTGCCATTACACCCACTAAAAACAGAGTCA